GGGGGAGCCACGCCAACAGGATACATGGGGGTGGGGACAGCCTTCGTACTCTTCCCGTGGAGGGCCATACGAGAGGGGGTTCCACGCAAGTGGTTGCTACATGTCACAGCCGTGCAATCGGCCCCTGACGAGGCAGCAGCCCACATGATGGCGGGGATGAGCTTCACACTCGAGCAGGGACCTGGGGGGCCCTGGGAGCTGGGAAGTCTACCCCCCAAGCTTGCCCTCCAGTACTACTACGACTGGGGGAACATGCAGAACACGGGCGCCATAGGGGGAGTCCTGCCGAGAACTTCAACGATGCCACCGTCACAGTGGGAACTCATGGCACAGCAGCTAATTCCCCCCCCCGACCGTCCGAGGTGGCCCGCAAGGAACCCCACCTTCCACACACCGCAGCCTGAAGCAGAGGGGGGAACACAAGAAGAACAACCACCGAGAGAACCACCACACGACCCCGCGCAGGAGGGTGAGGAGGGGGACGCCACGCAGCTCATGCAAGCACACACACAACTAGATAGTGTAGCTTCTTCCAGCCATGGAGCGGCGACAGCGAGCTCCCGACGTGCCGGGGGTACCATGAAGCTCAGCAATGCGGCGGCAATGGTGCGACACTGGCTGCGTGAACTAGCCGCTCTGCTGCAAGTGCACCCTATGGGGGCAGAGATCCCGCTCATGCTGGAGCAGGCCATGGAAGCAGTGCGGGGATGCCGCGAGCAACCAGACCGGTGGCAAGACGATGGCACAGTGGGGGGCCCAGGGCCTGTGAAGAAGAGGAGGGTCATCAACTACCTGGCGGTGGCACGAATGCGACTGCAAGACCTCTCCGATGAGCCAGTGAGGGGCGGTGGCGAGGACCAGCAGAGACTGTACGAAGGACTTCAGCGAGCTCTCCAGGACCTACGGCTGGGGGAGATACTCTACCAGCGCGCCACTCAAGGACAGTGGGGCCACCAAGTACAACAAGGACTCGAGGGGCTCCTACAAGCTCAGCGTGCCGTGGAAAGAGCCATGGGGGACACGACCATGGACGTGCTGGACTGGCACGTAAGCGGATGGGGGGACGCCGTGGCGGTACTACTTCAAGACGCAGAAGAACTTCTCGAAGAAGAGGGGCAGCTGGACTTTGTGCACCCGTCGGACGTTGCAGCGCTGGACGAGGGGGCCGAGGAGTTCCCTCCACCCAGACCGGGGTCGCCAGCGCAAAGGCTTGGAACTCTGATGCGGGACATCCAAGCAGTCATGCACTTCGTGACAGCCGGGGGGGAACAAGTCACCGCTCTGCTGGCGGCTTTGCTTGCGGAGCAGCAGCGCCGCGAAGGGGGAAGCATCCAAGTTGAGACCCAAACCACTGATGGGGGAGCCGCAGAAGATGAAGGGGGAAGGCCAGGTTGCGACAAACCGCTGCTCACGGGGCAGCCGCAGCCGCCACTCACCAGAGAACAGTGGTCTGGCAGCATTCCCTCCTCCACAGGGGGGAACGACAGTCAAGTCGACGAGCCGGTCTTCCCCACGGATGAGGAGCTGCTGCAGGCCATGGAAGAGTTTGAAAGACAGGTGAGTGAGGAGGCCCTGGAAGCTGCGAGAACACCAGGGGGGCACGAACGTTCTGAGAGCAGTGAGAGCCACCGTAGGCGTAGGGCACATGCGGACATGGGGGACTAATGCTTCCTGTCAGTGTTGTCGTGGTGCTTCACTGTGTTTGAGGGATAGAGGGGGAACGTGGCATGCCGCATGTAGCCTCGACAACGACCTTTTGGCCGGGCCCTCAGAGAGTTTGCACTTGTTCTGCCTAAGTTGTGGTGTGTTGCTGTTGGAAGAAAGGGGGCCCAAACCAAAAACATCTCACAAGACAGCACTGACAAACATAGTTGCATCTCATGCTTGCTTTTGTAGGGGGTACACTCAGTGCAAGGTGCAGTCTTTTTCTTTACGCCACGCCGGACCGAGCAGTCCTTACACTGCTAGACAGGGGGCTCCAAGAAAACTAACATGGTTCGTACTCGCTTCGTACTCGCTGTGCTACTGTGTTGCTGTGTTTGTGGGGGAGCCGCCCTGAACCCCAAGAGTAATGCATAAACAATATGCCGCGAGAGGGGGGACGGATCCGGTGTGGGCCTGATGAGGCCAGGGGGTTGTAATCGTAGTTTGGTTTCTCTGCTCGGAGCCCTTGGCCAGCATCGGGGATAGCAGTCTTACTTGCGACGTACAGACAGTGCGCGCTCGCGCGCAGAGTGCGGTGCCTTGCCGTGCTCTTGACTGTGTGGAAGAAGAGAGAGAGAGAGAGAGAGAGAGAGAGAGAGAGAGCGAGAGAGAGAGTGGACAAAGCAAAATGGGGCGACAAGAACTAAGAGGAGTACAACGTTCTTAGCTATCTGATTCAAGTCACAAGTGACACAGCCTTGTGGAGCAAAGCTCCGTCCGTGTAGAACTCGATCCACCAGTCGTTGACGACACCATAAGTGGTGTGACCAAACCAACATAATAGTGGAGCCAAAAAATTAGGCACACTTTCCCCTCACAGCACGAACCAGCTGCCTTGAGTCCGGAGAACGCTCCCTTGTTTGTTCCGTTGAATCTATTGTGGTTGGGTTATTTGGATGTTTGCTGTTGTGGTACAAGTGTGTGTTGTGAACACTTGGGGCACCTACTTTTGCTAGCACGCAAAACCCCACACGGGGACACGTTGTTCACATCCTTCCCTTCTACAGCAGAGCCCATCCCAAGCAAGCGTTGGATGGGGTGCGCAAACGCGCGGGCTGCAAGGACTGCTAGCAGCTCTTACCCCAGAGCAAAGCAAAGAGATAGAGAGATTGCGAAGGACCGACTTGAATCGACCAGTGCACCCGCGAGCGCGGGGAGCACAGAAGAGTAAGAAGGATGAGGACTCAGAAATGAGCTAGAATGATGTAGGGGTAGTTTCCCCGTCCCTCCATCCTGACAAAAAAGAGACAATACAGTAGCCACAGGTCGCTTGTTAGGTTGCGGGTAAGCCGGTGAAACTGCGGTGTTCCCCGCGGGGGAAGAAGGTTGCCCGCCTTCCTCTTCAAGCCCAGTAGAAGACACAGAACAGGGAGAGAAAGTGACAGAAACACTCGCGGCGTTCGCTGCTCTTGCTCCAGCTCTCTATACCGCCCTGCTAGTGGACCTCTGCAAAGCACTCCTTCCAGGAGATCCAGGCCTCGAAATGGGCGCTGCTGCAGGCCCGCCTCTGCCTAAGTGTTGCCGGTTTGTGTGCGTTGCGCCATGCCTTCATCGGTTTGACAGGACAGTTCTGCCGAAGCTGCCGCTGCAGCAGAGACTACGGACTGGGAGGAGCCGTCACACGAATGGCGAACGTAGGTTTGAGCTGTCGAGCTTCTGAGTGCGAGACGATACAAGATTACGGTTCCCGCAGGTGTTTTCGCTTTGTTCTTCGACGGAGGGTTCCTTTGCATAGAGTAGAGAATGACAGAAGAGAGGAGCTGAGAGGAGCAGACTGGCCTTGGCCAGTCAAGCCTTGAGCCGCCTTCGCTGCTTCGCCTTCGCAGGAGACTGCCATCCTGGAGCAGCTGGAGGCCTTCTGAGCTCATGCTTCAGCTCATTTCAGCCTTTCTCCACCTCAGCTGATGCTTTCCTGTCGGCTTTTCCTGCTCCTTCGGTTCTTGCAGCTGATTCTGACGGCGCTCTCGCCAGCTGCTCATGACGCTCGCACTACTTGTTTTGGTCAAAGGGGCCTCCCTGATGATCGTTAAGAAGACGTTGTTCTTTGCTGCCCGTTCTTCACTCAGCCGATGCTGTTGTCATATTATGCTGAGGGCGATTCTCAGTTAGTTTAGACCGGATGATGTCTGCCTCGACTGAGGCTGATTCTTGTGATGCCATTTGGTGCCGAAGAAGTTTCCCAACCAATGCCCCGCTAATTTGTCATGAGGCTCCCCGTCTGGGCCTGGTGATGGCCCTTTCGTGGCCTTTCCTGCTGACGCCTCCAGGATGACGCGCTCATGATGATTGTTTGTCGAAGACATTTCTCATCTCATTCCAGTGGTGCTTACTGTAGGCTTAGTTTTGGGCCTCACCAGTCCTCTTAGCGAATGCATCTGCCAGCCGGGGCTGATGCCGCTCGTTGTTCAGCTCTCGCCAAGGCTCTTCGCCGCTTGCATAGGTTCTGCTTTGCTTGATGCAACCGCAGCTGGTTCACGTGATGCTCGCGACAGAACCGGTTTAACTCAGCGGTCGATGATGCCGGTGCGTACTGGTCTTCCCTGAATCCTCAAATTGATGCTCATGTGCCGATTGCCGCCAATGTGTAGAGCTTTCAGGCTGATGCTGATGTGGCCTCACTTTTTGGTCTTTCTTGCTGATGCATCCTTCGGCCCATGCTGCCAAGCCGAGGGCTCCGGCTCATCCCAGTGCTTGCCGATTGCGCCCGCAGTTGCTCCTCATGGTGTTCATAGCACGTGGCCAGGACCTTCAACTCAGGCACCTGGTTGTCCTTTCCCTACTGATACCTGTCGCAACTGATGCCCATGATGCTCGCACGAGCTAGTCTTAAGATGACGTTTTGTCCCATAATATGAGCCGCGTGTGCTCGCATGTTCATCTGATGCTTGTCTCATGTTTATCATGCTATCGGGGGTGCTTGCAGAACCTTTAGGGCAAGACCCACACAGTGTTCGTGGGATGCAGACTGCTGAAGGTCCTCTTGACAGGGAAGGAAAAGAAGCATCATCCTGCTACACTTTTGTGCGGACTACGTTTATGCGTCCTGAAGGAGCTACAGAAGGAGGAGGATGTAGGCAACGCGAACCTGGCGGCTCAGTTTGCGTGCCTGGCTTGCATCTTGCAGACTCGTAGAGCTTACTCGGACTGGTTCGTGGCCAATGCCGCTTGCATGCAAATTAGCACCCTGCACTGCATCGCCACTCACAACTCCCTACGCTTCCCCGGAATGCTCAACAAAGAGAGCTTGTTCTCCAGCTTTGAGCCATGCATGCTTTGCCCTCAGGCATTACGAGGAAATGATTGATGCTGAAGACGCTGAGAACTGGGACGGACGCGGGGATTTGAAGCTATCCCGCATTCAGCGTGAGTCTCCGAAAAACGATGCAGGCTGTGTGAGATCTCTTGTCGAATGGACCTAAGCTTGAAGCATCAGCAAACCTCAAACCACAGCGTTGAATCCAAGCCGAGGCCGCTAAGCAGTATCTGTTTCAGACGTCCTGTACCGTCTCCAAGGATGGTCCGAGAATGGCGGCGGCTCCATCTTCACATCGAGCAGCCGACTGACCCTGCATGTTACAGTCAACCGACGAGGATGTGCACTGCAACATTACGACGACGACGATTATGATGACCCGGACTACTGCTGCTGCTGCTGCTGCTACTCCGCCTACACCTACACTTGGACCTCCACCTACTCCTACTACTGCTGCTGCCATTGCCACTTCTCCGGCTCCCGCTACGGCTACGTCTACGCTATGGCTGAGACTTACTACTCCTGCTGCTACTACTATTACTACTACCATTACTACTACTACTACTATTATTATTACTACTACTACTACTACTACTACTACTACACTACTATTACTACTACTACTACTACTACTACTACTACCACTACTACTACTACTACTACTGCTGCTACCACCACCACCACCACCACCACCACCACCACCACCACCACCACCACCACTACTTTATACCACTACTATACCACGACTATACCACTACTATACCACTACTATACCACTACTACCACTACTACGAACTACTACCACCGCCACCACTACCGCTGCTACTAGTTGGCGTCCTACCATTCCCGGCGTGATCTCGACACCCAAGGCAAGACCCGTCTACGTGCTATGCCCTGGGCTGTGGTTCGATGACAGAAAGGTCCTTTTTCGAACTCCTGTCCCTTCATTCCATCCGCGTGCTCTACGACTTCCGCAGCCCGCCTGCTATTGAAGGAGTGCATGAGCGGGCCGTGTTCTGCCTCCGAGCGGAGACTTCCAGGTTCGGACGGCGAGCAAGGCCCCTCGCACTTCAAGCCGAGTCATCTGGAGGGTGCTTGCAAAAGCCTTGGCCTCAGTGCGATGGCTTTTAGCTTGAAATTCTCTTCATGCCGCTTCCAAAGTGCCTCGGCCCTCAGTCCCAATGTGATGAATCCTGGAGCCTGGAGCCCCAGAGCCTGGGAGTGTCCCAGGGCATTCAGTGCACTACCGCTTCGCGCCCTTGGGCCGCGAAGGGGCCTACGGCATCCTGAAGCACCTCAAGGAGGCGCCTGTGTCCCGAAACCCGCAGAGTTTCTGAGACCACAGGGTGTTCCAGAGCGGCCTTGAATGCAGATGCAAGGGCAAGGATTTCGGGTTCCGACCGTCAGTCAAGGTTGAAAGCAATTGCCGGGTAGCTTAGCTTCTGCCACTCTGGTTAACTGGGACAGCGGGCACACCTTGCTGGCCTGGCTTTCAGGCACATCTAGTTCCGGGCTTTGGGCTTTGTGTCTCTCTCTCGGCACTTGGAAGACGACGACTCTGACTTTGGGTGCACTGAATCGTTCAGGTTTCCGGTTTCGGACAGACGGATGAAATTCTCGAAGTACCCTCCCGGACCCACTTAGCTGCCCAAAGAGGACGAGGGCCGCAACTTGCTGGCTGAGCTGGTCTGGTGGGCTCGCCGCAAGCGGACAGCCTTCCTAGGCCCGGCGTGTTTGAAGAGAGGCTGCTTAGATAGGCTTAGATGGATGAAACGACGAAGGATCCTACCGACAAGTGCATAGCGGACAAACGGAATGTGAACGGAAGGCCACAATGTGAAACGGAATGTGAACGGAAGGCCACAATGTGAAACAATTGCGTGGGGTCTGGAGATGTTGTCTTATCACAGGGTTTTCTCGGCACTGCAACGGCTGGTGGATTCTCTTGTATACATGCGAGGACCCTGTGGCCCAAGATAGTTAAGAGCGTCGTGCCAGAAGGCCAATGAGGCCGTGCACGAGGGCAGTTTGCAGCCATTGTGGCCTCAATGTCGGCCTACTTGGCGTCAATGGATTTGGCGTGATGCGCCGTCGCCATGAACGGCGCTGCCCGGGCCGCCGTGCCTCAGCCGTGAGGCCTCCCTTCCGTTCCTTGCTGCCCCGCGTAGATGTGGACAGAGACATTCGCCGGATGTCCTCACGGGAATTGGGGGAGAAGCTAACGGTGACGGGCAAAGAATTGGAGTCTTTGTTGAAGCTCGACAAGGAGATGGGCGAAGAAGCGATGAGGTGCGTCGTCGTAGCATGGGAGGTATACCCGGACTCGTACCTCTGTATGTTAGTTTGTGTTTCATCCATGTGTGCATGCCTGTGTGCATGTGCGCTAGCCGCTTGGTGGCGGCTTGTCTGGGAACGGCTGCCGGACGAGCACCCCCCGAGCCTTGCTGTGTTGTGTCGCGGGAGATATCGGCATTCTGGGAAATTCCTTGAATTGTGGAACTGCTCTGCGACAAGACCCGACTGGCAACAAAAATCACCGTGACAGTGTATGTAAGGTGTCATCATGTCATGAAGCTTCGGAAAGCCGGTCCTCACAGTGAGACTGTGCATGCAGGCAAGGAAGAGGACTGGCGTGCCTTGTCTGAAACTCCGTGTGCACTTATCATGGTCCTGGCGACGGAGAAGTGCTCGAAAGCACCTGACATAGAACAGAATGAAAACCCAGTCAAACCCCCATGCTTCCATCCCAATCGGAGCCAAAGATTTCTGGGCGTTTACGCCTGAATGTGAATACTTTGTAACCCCAGCTTGTCTGCTATGCGAACGAAGTTTTGGTCCTGCAGCTCGCAACTCTAGCCCGCAGATCAGGTCAAGATCATCGCGCTGCGATCGCCTCACGCTTGGCTGTTGCCGGCCACGGCCGCCTGACGAACCTTATCTTTCTTTTTTCGTTTCAACGTGAAAGACACTCGGAGTGCTTTTTGGAGTGTCCAAGCGAGTCCTGCGACGGAGTGCAGAGATCCTGCTCCCACACTGGCAGGTGTGAAGCACGTGTCGGCAGATGGAGCTCTTGAGGACCATTCGCATGATTTTGAGATGCCCGACTTCATCGCCGGTGAGGAGGTCCCCTTGAAGCAAGAGCCAGTTTTGTCACCGAGACTGGCACATGCAGGTTCGCCTGCGGCGCCTGGAGAAGCAACGACTGGCCGGTGACCTGGTGCGACCCACGAAATCCGCAACCTCACGGAGCACTGAGGCCAAGGGGCCACGGTGGATCTGTGTTTCCTAAGAGCCTTTCTTTGGCCAGGTGGTCGCCCAGCGGCTCACACAGCCGCAGAAGGCTCCCTGATTTCACAAGTCAGCCGCAGAAACCTTGGGGGACGTTCAGAGGTGATCGATGCTGCGGCCGAGCTGCGCAAGGCGAACACGCAGGCAGAAGGGGGAGGGAAAGCGAGCCAGCGGTTCTGTGCTTTTTCTGAGAGAGCTCGGAGCAACAAGCGAAGCTGCGAAGCTTTTCTGTTTTTTGACGATGCCTCTTAGGCTGAGCTCTGCCGCATTCAGCGGCGCCTTGCGGATGCCGAGCGCAGGCCGGGGCTGAGGGGCCTTGGGCAGCGGCAGAGCTAAGAGCCGAGCCCAGATCCGCCTCCTCGGACGCGAAAGCGGGCCTGGGACCGAAGCTGCTGCACGCGGCCCGGCCAAAGAGGGACCCCTGCTTTGTTTGGATTGCGCACTCGTAGACAAGACTTTCTTAACAATTCCGAGTTCCGCATCAATGCCCGACCTTTGACACAGCCCTTGGCCCAACTTGGCTTCTGGAAGAAACCCCTGGCCCGGCCTTGGCGAAGGTGAATAAGTGGGTAAAGGCCCAGGCCGAGGAGCAGCGGGAGAACTTGGCTGCAGGAAAGACTAAGGCCGGAACTGCAGGGGATTTGCGCAGAAGTGCGGCAGGTACTCGTAGGGGCGAGCTTTCTCAAAGAACTTATCTAGTGCTGGATTTCCTGTTGACCCTCTGCCGTGAATTGAGCTTGATGCGCGTGGGGGTTTCCAGGCTTTGGCATGTGCTTCTTGTTATCCTCGACAATCTGCAGGATGGCGAAGACAAGGACAAACTTGCCGCAGGCTGGGAGGGGTTTCGTGGGGCACGGGAGTGTCCAAGTGTCCTAGGATCCGGAGTTGCGCGTGCTTGGTTTCAACCCAGGCGGAGCATTGCAGGATTTAGGCTTCAGGGTGGAAAGTCTGACTTGCGGACCTGAGCTGCTACCACCTGCAACCGAAACGGCGGACCTGAAACCTCGACCGGCCAGGTGGGCCAGCTCCCTCCTACTCCTGGACGGGTAGCGGAGGAACATGCGGTGGCAATCCTGACTTCCTTGCTGCCGCGACTGGGTACGGACAATCACCAGAGGGATTCTACCGGTTACTTCGGACTATCATACAGAAGAGTCAGAAGAGATGTGGACCGTCGTGTTTGCGCACATGCGTCGTCAGCGGGGCAAAGGATGCCAAGGAAGCCCAGCCCAAGCAGCGCTCGGCACAACCAAGGCCAGCTCTTCCGATGTGGTGGCCCCTGGCTGTGATTCTTCGCTCTCCCACGACGGAGGATCGGGAGCTGTGACTCTTTGGAGCGGGAACCCCCCGTCCATGCGATGCGGGAAGCTAAAGCTGAAAAGGGGCGGCTCCTCGCTTCGAGGCAGCGTCCGCCAAGCATCGCCGGGGAGAACGGATGGCCAGCCTCTCAGGGTGCGCTACCCTTTTATGTGGAGGTGAGACATGGACCTTTGCTGCAGCTGTCAGGAATGTTGATGTTGGTCAGCCTTTGTTTTGGATTTTGTATCCAAAGCTGTCCCGGCCAATTTGTCCATAAACCTCTCGAGCTTAAGTACGCATGGAAAGAGTGCCAATTTTTGCCGCTGTCGTGGCCGCTGTAAGAGCAGTTCAAACAAACAGAGCGTGTGCGGTTTGTAGGTTGTGCTACTCTAGGTGGCCTCGCCACGGAAACCTTGGCAGCGGCTGCTTGGCTTCGCTCGAGCAAGCATTGCTGATCTTGGTAATTTGTACTGGCGCGAAAGAAGTTAACCTGCTCGAATGCAGTGTCTTCACTGGGCCTTGCGATGACACGGGCCAGAAACAAAAATGACGAGAACTTCTCTCACACGCATCGCTCACCTGTGACTCCAGGTCCAGGAGTCCATGCCCGAAGCTCCGGAAATCCCTGAGCAGCTCGACATGCATAAGATGCAATGTAGGTATCATGAGTTGAAGCAGGAACAGGAGTATGCTACTTGCCCGCTCTCTTTTGCTTCGGAAGATGGTAGGCCATTGCATGTTGCTTTTAAATCTACGACTGTCAGTTGGCTAATGCACGGCATCATCATTGACAGTGCTTTTCCGCTATTTGTTTTGGACTTGCGATTCAGCCTTCATGGACTGCATGGAGCAATTCTTCGCGGTTCGGCGAGGTACTTCAGAGTTAGCAGCGCGAGGTAGCCAGGCGATATAGCTGGCAAGTCCCTAAGGCCCCTTCCACGCCCTGAATTCCCAGGCCCTTGCATGAGCCGCTGCTGAACTGTCGCAGATGGGCCAAGCGTTCGGGAAACGGAGCCTTCGCTGGCAGCCAGATTTTTTGAAACAGGGGTCGGCAGGGTCAAGCACGGGTTTTGAAGTCGCTTCTGACACCAGCGGGTGACACGAGTGCGGGAGCCTTGACTCCTAGATTTTGTTCTCACTGATCGCCTAGCGCCTAGCAACGTCAAACTCAAGGTGCTGCCTGACGTTCCCAAACTGCTGAGAGCCGGTGCTCCAGCAGGGTCCAGGAACACCTTGGTGCCGGAGAGCAGCACTGCAAAAAGGCTTGGGATGTCCCTTCGTACAGCTCAAGACTGCATTCCGGTATAGTTGATGTGGGCTCTTTCCTAGAGCCCGCTAGTGGACAGAATTCACTTCGGTGGAGAGAGATTTTCTGCTCGGCGCGGCCCGTCATGTGCCTCGAGCACCTCGGGCTTTGTGCGGGAAGCCCGTCACCGGAACGACCGCAGCTGTACAGAAAGCACAGGGTGGTGACTAAGGTGGAACTTCTGCCGTGTCGACGCAATGCCTTGGAACCACATTGGACATGAGGCTCCAGCTGTGCTCTAACTAAGTGATCACCTTGTGCTCGTTACGGCACTTGTCCTGTACATGATGGGGGTGGTAGCCTGCACGCCCAAGATGAGCAGCTCACCCCCGCGAGTGCCGCTTGCCTGAACAGTCAACAAGCTTGCAGAGTCTTGTGCACACATGCTGGTATAGTGTGGCTCGTTAGTCCAGCTATTCTCGTCCTGCGTTGGAAAGGCTCGCAGATAGATTGGAGCTAGCTTGAAACAAGCAGCATCACAACGAGGACCATCCAGGCTCCAGTGTGAGACCTTGACCAGCTCCACACAGCCCAACTGAACTAAACTCCACAGCACCCCTGAGCCTGGCTGAGCCTGGCTGAGCCTGGCGCCTCGGAGCTTGAACGTCTCAGAAACTACTCGTATCTGTTGCGCTCGTGGACAAGAACACAAAACTGAGCTACCCACATCGAGACCCGCTGGTGCTCTGGCAGGAGCCGAAGGCGACCCATTTAGTCACACTTAGGGTTGACAGCGACGAAACACAGCAGGAACGGAAGTCAGCACTCTCAATCAATAGCTGTGCTCTCCAGCTGCCATGGCAACCGGCTCCTTCATCGACAGGCGGGAAATCCGATAGGCGTTCCTCATCGTCTTCCTTGAGTGCGCCACTTCTCAACTTTAGCCATTTCGCGCCAGGTTTCTGAAGGAAGAGGCAGGGAGTCATTCTTGGCTGATGCATGGTTTCGAGATCACCAGATTGGTGCAGGACGCCGGAGCGGAAGCCGCCGACGAGGCCTGCGGTTGCTCTTCTGGGCATCATCATGCCTGTCTGCTTGAACAACCAGTACTGCGTGAGCGAGCCCAAAGGGCGGAATAGCCCGTCAGCCCAGGGGTTTCAATCCTCGCTTGGGTTCAGGAGATGCTCCCCCACGAGGTCGAGGCCTCACGTTGGGTGTGTGCTTTGGTGCCGGGTTGCTGGACGCTTCACGCCCCCAGGAGTTGGAGGAGCCGGAGGCGGAGGCGGAGGAGGGCGAAGGCGATTTCGCAAACCCACACGTTCGTTCAAGCTTACCTGTTGGTGTTACGTGCAGGTGATGCTGAATGGGAGGAGGAGCAAGAAAAAGAGCTCGCAACCTGTTTTGATTCCCGGTGTAGCAAATGCTATGATTCTGACTTTCGCAAAGAGGGTTTTGGAGAGGGGCCGGGGATGTATGTCATTGACGAGCACATGGGCGTTGGAGTCAAGGGAGTAAGCATCCGGCCCCGAATTGGAGCCAGGCGCCTCGCTCGAATTGGAATCTTGAAGGCAGACATATCGTGGCCATGCCTCCCTGTTCAAGTCGCAGATCCTGACATGAAAGTACACTGCCATGAGGTGCACTCTCGTTCGGGCATTGTCACTCTGTCCAACAGCTCAACACAACACAGCATCTCCCACCTAATGCCGTGACGATGTGCACTGTCGCACACCTTCGCAGCATCAGTCAGGAGCTGGAGCTACCTGCGGAGGAACAGCCTGCGGAGGAACAGCCTGCGGAGGCTTCGACAAGCATTCGGTCAGCAGATGTCGCCAGCGAGCAGCGAGCGAGAGAAGACTTGGCAAGGTAGCGAGAAGTGTGGAAGCTAGTAGAGCCCAACAATTCCCGGTCACCAGACCGAACAGATCTAGTCTTTGGGACTGGCTGTTTGTAACGATGCAGCCAAAGGCGTTGGCGATACACGTGGCATCTTCACGTACACACACACACACACACTCACATATTGCATAGAGTCGCATGGTGTCCAGTTGCCACAACGTGTGATGACCTGTCCGTTTTTGCGGGGCCTGAGCAGAGAAGTCGACTGGCTCTAGATTGCGAAGCTGTGATCCCCCAAGCCTGAACCTACCGCCTCGGAGGAGGAGGACCCTGAACTGGATGCGAAGTTCCAGGCTGGGCTTTCTGATGGAAGACGAGTTGATTAAGGATCCGACGGTCCAGTGACAAGTTGATGTCGCGATGGAATCATGGCCACAGCGCTGTGCTGTCTTGGCTAGGCCGCCCTAGTTCACGAAGCCTCGAAGCGTCGGCCTCTCGTCCCTTTCGCAGCAGAGCCCCGTCGCTCAGGGCCTCCTGGAGACGCTCCAGGCGGAAGAGGACCGGCCAGAGAGCAAGAGAAGAGCCGGGGCGACAGCCATGATAATCCAGTCTTCTTGAAAACGCAGAAAGCCAGGCATCCTGCGTTCTTGAGAGGCCTCTTGCAGTTTTGGTGCATTCACGGCAGGACGAGGCGGCCGAAGAGGCGGCCGTGCAGGCCGCGACCGCTACCCTGCGAAGCGAGAGAGTTTAGTTCTCCGCGCGATTCCAGAAGAGAGTTTTGTTCCACAGAGCGCAGCGAGCAGCAGTTGCTGGCTTCGGGGCCGCCGCCAGAACTCCCAAACACGTTTTTCACTGAAGGAGCCGTCGAAGCCCTCACGCCCGCCGCAGGCCATCGAAGACCACGGGTTGCAGCTTTGGGTTTTGGGGCAGCTGGCACTGCGATGTGGGAATTCAGGGCTGATCGTTGCATGAAAGCACCGTGTGAGTTTGAACCATGCATCCCGCGCAACTCAACCTTCGGCATGACAGCACGAAACTAGCCTAATTACCAATTCGCATTGAGTGATGCAGACGATCTATGTATGCCTGTCAGGTTGCGCCCTGGCATCAGCAGAAACCCATCGGAGGCTTGGGACTTCTAGCTCTCCTGTCTTTGTCTTGCAGGATGTCTAAGTCTTGCAAGATTTCTTCCCCATACAGGTTCAGGCGTGAGGGATGAAACCAGAGCGAGCACACTGCCTCCGTGACTCCAGAAGGGGGCGACATCCATGGAAGGCTTCACAAAGCCTCGGGAGCCGCGAGGACCTCCGCCCCCGGACGTGGTTCCGTCCCTGGAGGGAAGTGGGATGCGTTAGGCCGAGGTCTCTGCCGTCTCTGCTTTCTGAATCGAAGCCCTCAGCCCTCAGTCGGTGTGTGGATCATGTATCCTAGGTCCTAGGCTTTAGCAAGTTCCCCTTGTGACACCTCTCCCATTGAGGGTTCGAGGGGTCTTCGAAGGCTCGAGACTTTAGCTCTCGGCTAAGGCCCGTGCCTCGAAGCGGCGGACTCTGGATCTGCGAGAAGGGCGTGGGCCGCGGATCTCCGAATATCACCGCATGTCACCGCTCTCCATAGGCTTCGTTTGAGATCCGTGCTGCTTTGCAGGCTGTTAAGGTTCCCAGGGCTCTTCTCCTCCATCTCTCTCCAGCCTCGAGGCCATTCCCAAAGTGGGCCAGCATTCCGGGTGTGACCAAGCAGGCACGGGCGCCTGCAGACATCCTCTACAGGAGCAGGGGCCTGTCGGTGTGGAGTTCTTTGATCGTTGATGTCAGCGGGCTCTGTGTTTCGGCCTTTTTCCATGAGGCAGAGGCTAATCTGCATTCTTGTCGCTGGACCAAGAAGCAAACCTCACAAGATCGAGGACGTCCCTTAGTCACGAGCTGTTGATCTCTGGGCTTTCTGCAGCAGCGGGCCTGCCCCAGGCCTGGAACGTCATGCCTCCTCCACCACCAGCGAGGCCCCCCCCTTCGCCGCCGCAATCTTCTGATTCCGAACGCACCTCACGGGTTGAGCGCGCAGTGCTTCGGCTTTTCTGATTGGTCTCACCTTGATCGATCGAGATGGCAGGCCGCCGACTCCTGCGAGCCTGCAGGGTGCGGAGGCGCGGCTCACGGCGCGCAGAGCAGAGCCGAAAACACGCAGTGACAGCAGCAGAAGTTGCAGCAGCACATAGCAGCCTCTTTCGTCGTTTTCTGTTTGAAGCACTGGCTGCAGGTTGCGCCGGGCGCGAAGGTGGTGCCTCCACGAGAGCCAGGCTTTCGTGAAGTCTCCAGCAACTCTCGTCGCCATTCTTTGGGGCCATGTCCAGGCGGCGAAGCTGCACAGCTCTCAGCTGCACTGAGCTGTGAGTCTCTGCCTAGACTCGAGTCACGACCACGAAGCTGGGCCCCACACCTTGAGACAGCTTCGGCTGTAGCTCCCACTTAGGCCAGTGCCATCCGAATCGAGCTTGGAGAGCATGACCCACAGGTATACCACTCCGCCCCCCCGATTCGCTAACAGACTGCGGTGCCCCGCGTCGTGCAGGGCACATGAGAAGTAACCCCAAAACTGGTGCATGGACCTGAGGCAGCTTCCGCGAGCAGCGTGGGGCCGCGATCCCGTCGCAGTTACGTGCTAAATAAGAAGGGTAAGCCAGTCTCTAGACCTCGACTGCCGAACACTGTCGCATCCTGCAGTTCAGCAGCCCAGCAAAGCTAGAGTGTGCACCCTGCACATGAGTGTTTTACGAACGTATCTTCGTGCATAACACTGCAACTTGGGCCACGCCAGGAGGCCGCCCAAAGGAGCACCTCCGCCCGGGCTGTTCCAACCTCAGAACGGTGACGGTGAACATCTGACTTTGGCACGAAGCCACAAAAGGGACTGCGGCTCCAGGCACTTGTGTTTTTTTGTTTTCAGTTTGCAGACTCTGAGGGCTTGCGAGAAAATCAGGCGGGAGCAGAAAGGCGACGGTCGCGTGGTGCCTGCGCGGAAGCAGAAGGAGACCCCAGGCAGCTCGGAAGCGGTTGAACTATGCCCCATGGCCAAAGCTCCTGGTGCATGGCTGCACTTGCAGCCTGAGAAGAATTGCTGCTCCTGCGTCCCCCCTTGCACAGCCCTTCCACGCCACGAGCTGTGCATGGCCAGGTCCTGCCGAGCGATCAGCCAACGCCTCAGCCGCTCTGGAGAAGGCAAAGGACCTCTTCTCCAAAGGCCTGCTGCGCATTTTGAAATGGGATTCTGTTGCCGAGCATTCGGGCAATGTGAAGGCTAAGGAATTCTGCGGGGGATGGGTGTGACTACTGGCCATGTGAATGTGACGATTAGGAAGATTCCCACCTCAGGGTGAAAGATCCTGACGACATTCTATGCACTCTACATTGCAATTATAGTAGTTTGCATGTGGCCTTCTGGACTCCGTGGCAGGCGTACACTGTAGCATATGCTGGCTGAGGCAGTCTAAGCCTGTGTATCTTATGTTGCGCGCTAGGCAAGAAAAACGGCGACCAGGCGCGTGGCACGGTGGGTTTGAGGACGTTGACAGCTTCAGGCCCTCAGGACCAGGCTGTGGGTTTGAGAGATGCTGCAGTCCTCCAACGGCCTGGATCCCAGTGCTGGCATGTTTCTGGAGCTTCTCAACCCCCGCACTCATACGAGTTCCTCGGACCTGCCGCTCTTTTCGGCTCGGTGCCACGACCTGCTGCCGGCTCGCGGGAGGTGCACTTGGTTCATTTGATATCCACTTGTGGCCACAAGGTCGAATAGCCTTGGCAAGTGCAGTGTGGAGTGTGGACGACAATCATGGAGCATGGCATTGGAGACTTCCACAAGAAGAAGCAACCACAAAGCTCGAAACAGTTTGCGGATGCAAAGCTTCTGAAGGTGCAAGGAGCTCCGGTTCGTGGAGCAAACTGCTTCTCGGCTCAACGGGGAGCAATGGTTCTCAACTGATTTCGGTCTCACGGCAGATTTACGGGCGGTGCAGGAACTTGTGTTGAATCTTAGCCGTGATGCCGTCTCAGATGAGACTTTGGGGAGACTTCAGATGCCCCTTTCTTTGTGGTGAGATTACAGACGTTCTTGTGCTTATATCGGCCTGGAAGAGCAGATGCACGACTGGCGTGTAACACCAGACGAGCATCCCAAAAGCGATTTGAGCACGCATTGATTTGGCCCTGGGTCGAGCAAAGGCCTGAAAGCCCTGGAGTAAAGCTCCGGGGCCAGGCGAGGTGCGCCCCCCCCGGCGCTGGGTTGTTTCCTTTGCAGTGTCAGCTCGAGGTTTTGTCTTCGCATCCGTGGAAGAGGTATCACCATGTCTTGGACGACTCCATGGTTCCGGGATGACGAGAAGCAGCCTCCTCGGCCTCCTCGGTCCTTGGCTCTTGACTCCGAGAAGTGTCGCTCTTTTGGCCAGGCCCTTCCTGCAGCGCACGGACACGATGTCCCTGGACATCATCCGGCCCAAGGATATTCCACGTGGACAGGCCAGGTTGAGCGGCTTTGGCAAGCTTCAGAATATGGGGACTGAAACTCTAGATCCTGCCTTACACCCCGCCTTGAAATTCCCTTTCTACTTCATTCCGGCATGACACAGCAACGCATACCCGACGTCTTGCGCTACAGGTCATGTTCCCCAAGGATTATGACAAGTCGCTCATCACGGAGGCATTGGGAATTGTTGTCCAGACTGAAGAGCGTGAGCAGCCGCCGCACCTGATTCAAGCCTGCTAAGCTCCAGTTTTTTCTTGAAACATCCATCCACCCGCAATGACCAGACTCTAGGAATACCGACCACTCCTCGCTTGACATGGTGTTCTGTTCGTTTTCATCGTTGGGCAGTGTGGTTTTCAGATCCGAGCATTGGCGTCCCTGTTGAAGCCATGCATCTCCGTACTGCTTCATAATCTGCCGCGTCATGACGTGATGTAACATCTAGTATCATCTAGTAATGTAGTATCTGGTCCAGAAGAACTGAACCAGCACTTGCTCTCCGTGTGTTGTCGACGGCCAAGTCAAAGACATCTCGTCCCGAAGTTTTCTGGCGGGCTGCAGTTGCAAAAGCTGGAACTGCAGAGACGGATGGGGCACCCACAGCTCTACTCTTTACGCCTGTGCGCCGGGGTTCACACCCTCTGCGATAGCTGAAGGACCATATCCTACTCTCCCGTGCTTGTGCCTGCATGCGCTTGGCCTTTGGCTGGTTGGTTTGCCTGGTGGTGTAAGCACCGAGCAGAGTCCTCGGACCATGTATTCCCGAGAGGATGCAGCTTGTGTGATGGCTAGTCGGGCTGGTCTCGGTTGGTGTCAGTTTTGTAGCATGCTCTCAGCCTTCTCTCCGGCGATCTAGCGTGAAGCCGTGTGACCTTCTGTTCCTTCGACTCTTTCGGCTGGCGCACGTGGTCAGGACATTCATCGGTGTCAGCCGCATTATGAACATCTCAACTACCTGAACAAGCCGGACATGAGCGCCGGATTCTTGGAACTAAAGACGGCCTGGTCGTCGGCTGCCCGAACTTCATCTCTCGCCAGGCCCAAAACTGAATCTCAAACGAGCCGGCCGCACTTTGCTCTAGTCTGGCAGGGCTTGTGTTGCTGTCAATGATGGTGGCAGGGGCAATAGGGCCCATGTGGCAGCTTATGAAACCATGATTTCTTGAGTTCGGGTGACATGTGGGCACTTCGACCCGCTCTCTGATGAGGTCGGCTGCACGGACCCCGTGCATGTCGGGGGCAAGGCCCGTTCGTACTATGCCCGGGGCTCTGGCTTTGCTGTTGGCAGCGCTCCAATCATCAATTTCGGTTCTGTGCATCTTGCAAGGGCATTCACTTAGTTATCTTCTGCACGGAGCCTGAAGTCCGAGGCGCCTATGGATCGGCGCCCGCGAGATCTGTCTCTCACGACGGTGCGCAAATTTCGGATCCGCCTGCCCTTGGGGTTCGCAAGCCTAGCGCTCCTCGGATCTTCTTGACCTGACCACTTCCGCCCAAAACGGTAGAAATTATCAGTCGGAAAAGTACAGGGCCTTGGGTCTTGCGACTGGTCAGGCGGATATCGAGCTGGCGATCCCCCGAGGGGGCCAACACAAGGGCTCCCGCCGGATTCCCGTTTTGGCGACATCAAGCTTGGACTTGCATCGAGTTTCGTGTTGCAACAGCTGCCAAGCCCCGCTGCAGTAGGTTTCAAGCGCGTGGTCTTGTTGCAGTCATGTGGCAGTGAAGAGTTGAAGCGGTCTTTTCTGGCATTCGACGGTCTATTCGGTGCACCACGTCTCCCACTTTGGGTTGGAAGACCCCGGTAGCCCCTTCATGTGATGTCAATGCCAAGCTTCAGCCTCCAAGGCCATACGGACCCTGTTTGCCCCAGATATGAGATGCCGTCCTCCTATCAGCCGGGTCCCCGGACGACTCTGGAGCCCATGAGCTTCTGGGTATGTGCTTTGGGCTTCTGTTTGGGTTCTATAGATGTAAACCTTTGCAGCTACGGTGAGTGCCACGAGCTGTTGTGCTTTGGGTTACTCTTGTCGAACTGGCTTGCTGCTGCATGGCGGGGAAAGCAGATAAAGTGCAGCCTGTTGGGCTCTGCAATTCTGTCGTGCACCTGCTGCAAACATTCAGCCAAGTCAGCCTGGCTTCTCGATTGCTTGGCCAGGGCCCCCGTTCCTGAACCGCGGTGGAACGGTCCTGTGCTCGGGAAAGGTTGCTTCGGGGCCATGGCGCAAAGCTTCAGATCTAGACAGTGGATTGGGATGAAGCCACAAGTATCGCTGAATGTAACGCAGTATGCCAAGCTTCAGTTCCGTGAGCATTGCCTGGTCGTGTGCTCCGGAAAGCACTTAGGCCGGCATGCCACAGACAACTCCGACATCGAGAAGAGCCATCCTCGGGTGTGCCGCCCCGTATTTCGTCGCAGAATGCCCTCTCGTCTCTGGACGTTGTGTTGTCTTGTATGTTGGAGTGCGGTTGCCGCAGCACGTGCTGCTGCGTGGTTTCGACTTCTTCAATGACTCACGTAGGTGCTTTGCGTCGCATGTGGGGTGCCGGTTCAAGGAGTTCTCAGTGTAGTCCGGATATTCAGCGATGAGGGGATTGAGTGCACTTTGCAAATATCTCTGGTCCTGCTCACGACACGCAACCTCAAGCTTTGATGCAGGTTCTTCATCCTGATAGAAATTACGTGCGTGACCCAAACGAGGCCAGTTGAGTGCGTGGTCAAAGACAGTTCGTTGCTTTCCCTCTCTGCTGTCCAGTGCTTGCATAAACTGGTCGACACTGACAGCACCCTATCTATTGCATTCCGCCAGAGGTCGTCATAGCTGATTACGGAACTGTTTCTGCCTTTGCCATGACTGAGCTCAGGGCCGCGACATTGAGTACACAACTCCAAACTATGCCGGGTGCTCCAGGAGAAGCGCCACAGTAGGTAGGCGAAGTGATGGGTACAAGGATCAAGTTTGGCTCTGGCACAGCAGCCAAAACTGGCAACTCGAAGCTTCGAAAGCCTCACCAAGGCAGAGAAGCTGAACGCCCTCCGAGCACGGGACCGTTCGAGGCTTAGAGCTTCGCCGGCTCGTCGCACGGCGGGGCCCGATCTCCAGATGGAGCGACCACCGGCACGAACCGGAAATGACGGCCTGTTTGACTGAAGAGCTTCAAGGCACGAGAGCAGCTGCGCATTGCTCTGGTCGGAGTGCAGGGAGCGCTTAACATGCTTCGGCAAGATTTGGCAGCACAGAGTCATGTCTTCGACTGTGCCGAGGTCCAGACTTCTCCCTCAACGTACAGGACTGTTTTCGGTGTAAGATAGACTGTTGTACACCTGGGACCTTCATGAGGATCCCTGGTACGAGAATGCAGCTGGTACAATTACAGGCGTTTAGGGGCAGGGATGCGGTCTTTCAGCCGAATGCTCTGGAGGACATCCTGGGTACCAAGCCGGCAAGGCCCCGATGTACGGACCCGTTGGATCCGAGTTACAAGGCGGGGCAATGCCTCGATGTAGCCCAAACCTGGTATCTGCTCAAGAACGGGCTCACGCGCAAACACTCACATGCACTGCCAGAGACGGAGGTCCCAACCAGTGCGACAACTTCGCTCCACGCGAAGTACGCAGAGGATTGCAGAGTTCTGCATGTTGAGTCATGAGTTATACAAAGGGCATTCGCCCCTGGCCCACGGTCACTTCAACTGCTGTGTGCACTCAAAATGCTGCTAGTGGCTCGTAACTTGAAGAGTCTCAGAGGGGTGCCGGGCTCGCTGCACTCAGGAGAAGGGCCTCGGCATAGAGCTGCCCAAGCTGCAGGCGAGCTGTGTTGACTCCCACAGGGAAAGTCAAGGGGAAACACTGGGGAAGGCGACGCTAGGTACATGATCATGACTGCATATGGATGTCAGTGGAACCACTCCATGTCCCGCTAAGAACCCATGAAGCACCTGCAAAATCGTCGCAAGCACAACTTAAGTCCGGCGAGCCGAAGCACGACAACATCTCGCGGTATCTACATCCCAGGTTC